GTCCCTCGGCCGCCATCCGCATTGAGATACGGTACGTGCGGTGAACAATGGGGGGCGGAGGGGCCGGCGGCGCGGGGTGGCCGTAGGGGAGGGCGGGAGCAGGGCAGGGAAGGGGCAGGGGCGTGGAGGGGAGAAGGGAAGCGACAGAGACGGACCCTGGGCTGTGTGATCTGCGCTGCGCTTCGCCCATCCTACGTCTATTTTCCACCGCACCTTCCATTGCCGATCAGTGTGACCGCATACAAGAGCCGACAACAGCCTCTCTTCCTTCAGAATCTCGAGGTTTGGCGGTCTGGCTGTCGGCTCTGGTGTCTCTAGGCGATATGATTAAGAAAATACGTCGACGGCCGTGCTCCTCCTCGCCGCCAGACACGGAAGGTTGCCATGTCAGGTTGAGCAGTCTGCAGCAAAATTGTTGTACACTACCGCCACCTTTTCACTTCCTTGGATGACAAACACGGCACGGAGGAGTTGCTTTTGTGGTTATTGGTTACTTAGAGCATTTTGAAGCTAGTTTAAGAACATTTTTTTCTGATACTGTATATTAAAATTTCTTAGGAAGAGAGTTCCTTCATGCTTCGTGTTCTTTTATTCTTAGTCTGTTATGGTATCGAGCAGTTTGTTTATAATCATAGTTTTGTTAGTTTTATCATCATGATATTCCAACTGAGAATTCATCTTATATTCATACTGCGAAAACTCATTTGCACTTTCATACACTATGAAAATTGTTTGTTTCTCTTTGAACCCTTTTGAATGTGCATTAATATGGCAGGACATGCATTTACATTAATCTGCATTTCTGTCACCTACATATAGATATGGATATACATTTGCATGGAAGTCTATCTATGTATGATTGCCTTAATCCTATTTATACTTTCAAAGTACAATATTCTACAAAAGTGTAAATAAAAACAATGGGCGGATGTTGAATTTCACGGATGCTAGCTGAAAAAACGAAATAAAGTAACTACATACAATGTCACAATGTAAAATGAATGCGAGTAAGTTCGTGAAATTTAATTCAGGCTTTGCAATGATATTCATATGCCATTACAACCATGCCAGTTCACTTGCATTACGTAATTGTCAAGATTTAGCAAGCAAACCAGTTGCTGTTTTCAACCATGCCAGTTCACTTGGCATGAGAGGTACGTAATGTACTACGCTCCGTTGTTGAAACAAGCCAATGACTTTTTGCATTTTCTAATCCGCAGATGAAAGACATAAACAACTGAAGCAGTGGTTCCTAGTGTTTCTTCTTCCGAGAGCTAAAGACCGATGCATCATAAACTACAAGAGCTTCAATATCGTCTGTCATTTCATATCCAATCACTGTTAAGGGCCTCATTTCCCTGGGTGTTCAAACCTTACACTGGAGGGGGGGGGGGGTCTCTGGCGTACACTCTTTAGAACATCAATGGCGATCTTGATCAAATTGGAGATCATATGGCAGTCATCATTATCTTTTTTTTCAAATTCTTGGGGAGTTCACTTTTTTGGCAGTACTTTATTCTTCGCAGACCTACTTTTTATGAAAAAGACGAAAAAAAAAAATGACCACTTAATTATGAGCAATAGGACAAGACCTCTATGGAAAGAATCCAGTTCCTTAATATGTAAAAGATATTATCTGCGAATACTGCGATGTACAAAGCCTCTGCAATTCGAGTTTATTAAGTTCAAACTGCTTCATGGCCATTAGGGACGCGTACCCTCCTTAGAAGGGAGACGTGGGGCTAAAGGTGGACCTTCGTGTTAGTTATTTCGTTCCCTTTGTTGTTGTTGTTTTATCTTTCAACAGTTCCTGTCTAGTCTATATTGAATTCATACTGCATCATATTTGCATTTGTTTACATTTTAATCTCGTGAGAACTATTCTTATCACGACGACCATCAACAGCATCATCAGTCATCTCCATCACTATCATCCCCACCACCACCACCACCACTATCACTCATATCACCATCATTATCATCACCACCACCATCAACATCATCATTTAGCACCACCACCAACTATCGTCATCACCATCACTACTATTATTAATACGCTTATTATTTAATGTATTTATGTCTTTACCACGAAGATAAGCTATACCTTGCTGGAAATAAGCATGCTCGAGATGATGTTCCTAAGTCCTTTTTTGACTTAATGTGAACATGACAAATATTTACCTTGGAGACTTATCATCTGCAGTTGCGACGGTATACTTTCTGACTTGGGTACTTAAGTGGTGTAAGAGAGAGAGAGAGAGAGAGAGAGAGAGAGAGAGAGAGAGAGAGAGAGAGAGAGAGAGAGAGAGAGAGAGGAGAGAGGAGAGGGAGAGAGAGGAGAAGAGGAGAGAGAGAGAAGAGAAGGAGAGAAGAGAAGGAGGAGGAAGAAAAGAGAAGGGAAAAGGGATGGAAGGAGGAGGGGAGGAGAGAGAAAGAGAGGCGGGGAGGGGAGGGAAGGGGGGAGGAAGGGAGGAAGGAGGGAGAGAGGAAGAGAGAGAGAGAGGCGGGAGGGAGGAGAAGAAGAGAGAGAGAGAGGGGGCGGGGAGGGGAGGTGAAGAGAGAGAGAGAGAGAGAGAGAGAGAAGAGAGAGAGAGAGAGAGAGAGAGAGAGAGAATCCGAGCTTGCTAGGAGCTAATCTTCATGAAGCACAAAACAGAACTGACCCTTCTTTCAATACCACTTATTGGTGATTTATCCGGTAGTGTAGCAAGTCGACCCATTTTCTTTCAATTTCCTCAGTCTTATCAAAGTACGATAGCACATCTTCCCATGTTTTGAGGGATGTCTAACTTTAATTCCTCTTCTCTCCTCTACTTCTGGATTTGATTTCAAAATTTACAGTGATCTGCAGTATATTTATTATGAGAATAACAGAGTTCTTTATAGTGTTCTCCAGTTGTTACATTGTCTAATTTTAGGTTGAGCTGATCTTTAGCCTATGGTTATATTATGTTTTATAATCTAATTGCCATATTTGACACATAAAGTCTTATGAGTCACTATTGTTCTTTTTTTTATAATAGGACTGAATGGCCTGGTTATACTGTCATAAACGCCCTTTACATACATAAACTAATAACTATCCCTTTGATAATTACCTGTTTATGATGACTGAAGGTTGTGGGATTGCTAATAATAGGCCTATGTGTTTAACATTTGAATTAGACCTTGTCGGATTCCCAGGTTAAATTTATCCTCTCAAACTGTCAAAGTTAACGATATACGTTTTTTTTTGTATTATCTGCAATTGATGATACTCTTAATATGTTTAACACCCATATCGATGTTCACAGTCATACTTGCGAATAACAAGGTTCAAGAACTGACGCCTAATACACCTCACTTCAGACATTTGGACAAGAAATCCCAACAGTCAGTATTAAGTGGCATGTTCCTCCTACTAATATTCTGCTGCCTGTTCAGTGATCGACTATATCTAACCACAATACACCAATACTTTCAGTTACGTCCTATAATACATTTTCACTATGTATCAGAATTTCGAATGTACAAGTTATGTCCCTCTTTTTTTTTTTTTTTTTTTTTTTTTTTTTTTTTTTTTTTTTTTTTTTTTTTTTACTGCCTTTGAAATATATTTACTGCAAGAAATGTTTGTGATATTGGTCTGTGTTATTTCTGACCTTAGTTTGTATGTATTGGAATGATACTTTTCTCCTTTCGTGTATTTGGGATAATTTTCGTGTCCAAAGATATGGTTTGATAGAAATTTCAGTGTGATTTGTGTGTGTGTGTGTGATTGTTGTAGAAATTGGGATCATCAGTTGTCATTTTTAGCAAACTTATTCGTTTCAATGTATCAGGTTTCCCTTCGCGCGCGCACATACATACACGCAGGCACACACCACGTACACACGCGTATATATATATATATATATATATATATATATAGATATATATATATATATATATATATATATATATATATATATATAATACACACACACACACACACACACACACACACACACACACACACACACACACACACACACACACACACACACACACACACACACACACACACACAACCCATGAGTACGCTTTCCATCAGCTCATTTTGTAGATTTTGTAGATATTACCTTAAAAAGTTTTTTTTCCATCTCAGGACCCTTCATCTTGTCCCAGTGTTTAGCTCTTTCATTAAGGTGCTTTTCCTGCTGTTTGGTGGACGTTCTTCGCTTGAAAGCATGCAACTGTTCTGGGTACTTGATACTCGACGCTGGAAATCAACAAGGATATTAAACATTTAATCAGCGTCATTTCATCTTAAGAAGAGATGGAATGTTTTCTAGATATTGCTTGAAAATGAACTGACTACTTTCATTTCAGAATCACAGTTATAAATTGTAATCTATATAATTATTCTCGTATTTGCAAACTTCCACGCTGTTTTGCGATGCCTCAATGTTTTACCGACTCGGGATGATATGACTGGCTTATTTGCTAAGTTAGAGGATTTAAAACGCAAGCAAACAGCAAAAAACCGTTGCCGGATTTGAATAATCATTTCTCCCCGACCTGCAATTCCTATGTTGCACGATGGCAGCTGTGTCCTTGGTGGTGTAACAACCATATGAAACTGCATATTGCGTCTTCAAATTCTCAAATTTTAATGCTTTTCGACAGCCGAATCGACAAATGTTATCTATATAACAAGTAAATTTAATGAGTTCCCATATGTAGCCATTGATTGTCTGTATAGCTGACAGTCTGTCTGAATTAGTAATTACGCAATTGGCTGTGAATTGGCATGACTAAAACACGTATTGGCTCAATGATTAGCTTGCGCCTCAACAAAGAGACATAATTCATAGCAAGAGTATAAGAGTGGAGAAAAGGGTAGCGGGTAAAATGGTATTTAGACAAGAAACTAAATATTACTACATAATGATAACAATAATATTAATAATAATGATAATGATAATAATAATAATGATAACAATAAAAACTAATCAACAGTCATCCATTGTACTCAGAGGTCTGTACGTGAATTGATAAGGACATCAAGAACACTGATTAGCGATGCCTTAGAAATCGTTGAACTTTCGCAAACATACTGTACATAAACAAATCTTTCTCATACATGTTACACTCGGTACTTCTTTGATAATATTTGCAGGAAACTAAGAAACCGTTTCATGATGTCTGGGTCACATGGAAGAAATAAGCCGTGAGTTGAATTTTAAATGGATTGATTTTATGTTTTATGGTAATTAGTTGTTGCTAATATGAATGGAGATTTAAAGGTGAACTTGAAAATACTGCAAATAGTTCTCAAATAACTCGAACATAATTAGAAAAGATATGTAATGCGAAGAAATGTCACTCAGAACTTTGTGTTTTCTATAATATGTAAGCTACCTTACTATATAAACTGAACGTTATATCCTTATATAAAGTCCTATGACTTAATCCTTTCTAATAATTTTTTTTTATTTTTTTATTTTTACAGGCAAAAGAGGAAAAAGGATGAATTCGATAATGATTACAGAGAAGACTGGCAGAGGAACCATAGACATTCTCCAGATGAAAGACAGCGTATTTCACATTCTGAAAAATGTTTCACCGTGCATCCCCGGAATAAGTACAATACATCTGCTCCAGCTTTCAGAAAACCAATGTTTGTTGGAGATTTCTGCTTGGATGAAAATCGAATGTTTTGCCATGATAAAAGAAACCTTCACTATATCAATATTAATTGGCAAGAGTCTAAGAAGGTAAGCTTTTACGTTCCTTATCCAAATATCACTATATGAATTGATTTTGATAATGCATTACGCTTATATAGTGTGTTGTGCAACTTTCTATAGCAAGAGAAATTTACATTAACAGTAAATATTGTGATTTTACCAACAGGTTGATTTCGACCTTAATATTGCAATGGATAAAATGATCAAAAAGAACTTTCAAGAAACGCGAAAAGAAAAACTTGACCGTCTTCTGCAATGGATTCTTTGTGATAAATTCAAATTCCACACAAGAGATTCAGAAGGCAAACCCTTACAATGGTAAGGTTTAGGAATATTTATCATTATTGTAAGTTTCAATATATACCAAGAAAATATTTGGGATGACAAGTAATGTTTTTTATTTTATGTAAAACTTTTCCTAGACTTAGTAAAACTTACATCTTTGTAGTAATCTAATGTTATATATTACAATTCTTTTAAGAAAAGTATAGTTCAGAATTCATTCAATAACATAATATAGTACTACTGTGAGGTAGTTGTGAAAAAAGTTATATTAATACATTATACGGAAATGGTCTCATGATAAGTTGGATCACAAATAAAATTGTTTCATAAAAAACAAAAGGTTCAAGATGGCAAGGACATAGTAGCAGGAGTAGCAGGACTTGGATTAGTAGAAAAACTGTTTAGAAAAGAGATGTCATTGTTGCCCAAGAAGAAAGCTTAAAAGTGTTTACGGAAAATTAGATATCTCAGTCCTATGAAAACATGATAAAGTAGATAGCAAAGGTTGGTAGTAATCCTAGTAAAAATACTCTTCTAGTACTGCTAACTGCCATCATTTTTGGACCAGTAGTACTTGAAGTACCACTGGTCATTTTCAAGTCATATTCTTTGTAGTAGTGGTAAGTAGAAATTTTTGAAATATGAATTGAAAATTGGACAAACACTTTTGAAATATTTAAAGTTTATAGTTCACTACAGTGGTACTAGCTTATAGTCCCATAGTGTATTTTATATTACAAACTGCATCATATTTCATAAATCCCAGAATTTTTCTGTTATGTAATTTACTTCCAGAAAAAAAGCCTTTTGGCAGTACTGCTACAGCCACCAATGCTAGGCTGTTTTGTGTAACTATCTTTTCATTATAATACTTTTTTGTAGATGGTGTAATATATTGTTTGTTATTTAGTTTGTCCACAGATTTTGTCTGTTTCCGAGGTCTACTAACAGAGTTACTATGCACACCATATGAGAGCAGAGAGGGATGGATCATTTGTGCAACCAAGTATGTAAACAGTTCTGTCAATGAATCAGTTGTAAACCGAAAGTGACATTAATTTTGAATTGATATAGTTCCTATATGCATTTTTTCATATAAATGTTGATATTATGTGTCTTGTAATGCTGTAATCAGGAAATTTATTTTTAGGTACCGTGGGACAATATATCTCTGTGCTTATGAGACACCAGAAAAACTTGAACAGCGTGAAAACGAGACAGAGGTACAGAAAAAGATGTGTTCATGGGGCTACAAATTTGAACATTTCATGACAGAGGGTGTGTTACCCAGTTACACTGCAGATGTTACTATGTGCCTGTAACTTCTAGGTGTAAATGTTATTTCCTGTTTATGTCTTTTTAATCACACTTAATTTTCTTTGATTGTAAATTGGGCCAATTTATACATTGTTGTAGTACCAGTAACATTCGAAAACAGTCAGAATTTCTTTAGCAAGATCAGTCAGTATCAATTTTTCATATTTTTACAGAATTTTTCTTTAAAAATTGTCAGAAAAAAATGTGCCCCACAAATACTATCAGTTAAATTTTTGGATGCATAGCCTTTTATTCACTTGGCTTTACCAAAAACATCATGTGAGACATAGGATAATAGTTTAATTTCTTACTTTTATCCTTTTTTAATAATATTCTTAGGTACCAATGTAAATGAAGGAATAAATGAAAATGAGGAGTACTGCTGTGTTGTGCGCTCTCGTTTGGAGAACCATTCCTTGGTGTATGGAGCTGAAGTGGATGGTGCTGATCCAGAAAAGTATAAAAACCCACACTCAGACCTAAGTGCTTTTGTGGAACTCAAGACAAGTAAAGAGTTAAACACTGACAGAGATTTAAGATCACTCTACAGGTAGGTGGTAGAGTTATTAATTTAGTGTTTAGTTATTTATCAATGTTATATTGCATATGTATTTATGTTATGCAGGTTAGAATCAATTGATGTGTACATGTATATATAGAAATATGATGAAAATATTCAGAACTACATGTAGAAAAAAATAGCCATAAAGTAGGGGTTAACTGTTTACTACATACAGTCTAAGTATGACATTTGATGTACATCATCCAGAAGAGGTTCAAATTATTTTGAATATTACATATAACAAAGCAGTGGTATGAGTTTTTGTTGTTCTGTATTTACTGAATCATGGATAGAATTGACAATGAACCAGACAGTGAAACTCATTTCACTCTTATTTCTTTCAGATTCAAACTAATGAAATGGTGGAGTCAGTCATACCTAGTAGGAATTCCACGAGTTGTAGCAGGCTTCAGAGACATGGACGGGCATGTACACACTTTGAAGACTTACCATGTTAATGAAATGCCCCATATGGCTCAGGTATTTTGGATTTTCATATGTATATTTATTTTTCATTTAACCTTGATTTTCTTATTTTATAGGCAATCTGTGATTTTCTGATTAATTAAATATACTATTGTGAGAGCAAGGATATAGAAAGGAACACTACACTTTGGCAGTTGACAACAGTTATGCCCTTAAGAACAAAAAGGCATCTTTATAATGGTTTTGGCCTTTGCAGATATATTTTACATCCCAAATAAACACTTTTTGCATTTGCATTGCAGGATCACTGGCAAGACAATATAATGCTGAACTTCCTAAATCAGTTCTTGAGCTTTGTCAAAAAGAATGTTCAAAAAGATGACCCAAGGACTGTCTACAAGTTTGAAAGACAGAAGCAAGGAGGCGACATCTACTGTACTTACCTCGGCCAAGACCCTGCTTGGACATTTCTACCAAAGTGGTACTATGAAAAAATATTCCAGCCAGAGGATAATTCAGAATAGTTTTTTTTAGATTAGGGAGACTTTGTATAGTACAATGTTTAATAGGTAATATGTTTGAAATATATTTTATACTATTGTGGTCTGGTTTGTATTTCTGATACTACATATAATACAGTTTACATGATGGTTCAAGAAGCTCTGGGTATATGTAGACTTATCTTGAGGATTTTGCAAGGTATTCTAGGTTATTTCTCATCTCAAGAATTATGTGCATATTTGTGTAATTGATTTTATTGTACTATTTATGGATATTTATATGTTTATAGTTAAGTTTAAAAACAAGAATTTTTTTTTCAAGTTATCTTTGTTAACTGAAAAAATACAGAAATGTTTAAAATGTTTATTGTATTTTATCCTTTCCTATAATTGAGGAAACGTTCTAGTTAGAATTATTATATCAAACAGTTTTCCATAATTTTGGTTTTACACACACACACGTTTGTGCATATATATATTTATATGTGTATATTTTATATATATATATATATATATATATATATATATATATATATATATATATATATATATATATATATATATATATACATATATATATATATATATATATATATATATATATATATATATATATATATATATATATACATATATATATATACATATATATATATACATATATATATTATATACATATATATATATATACATATATATATATATATATATATACATATATATATATATATATATATATATATATATATATATATATATAATATATATATATATATATATATATATATATATATATATATATATATATATATATATATATATATATATATATATATATATATATATATATATATATTATATATATATATATATATATATATATATATTATATATATATATATATATATATAGTATATATATACATATATATATATATATATATATATATATATATATATATATATAGCATATATATATATATATATATATATATATATTATATATATATATATATATATGTCCGATCTAATGTGCCAACTTGTTCTACACGTTCCTTTTATGCTCCGGTTGATGTTTGTTTCACCCTGCCAAAGGGGGGGGGGGGTAAAGTTCAAAGGGCTTGCTCAAGGGGGAGATGTAGGTCACCTTAGGTCAACCTGGCTCAGGCATGGTAGATGCGAATCAGGTGCTTCCTCTGGTGATGTAAACACAGGAGGACTGCGACAGGAAGGTACAGCTTCCGTTTCGACCACAGATATTCTTGACATGTTCGGCCACGCAAAAGGCTCTTCCTTGGGCCGTCTAAACGTCATATGCACTGATGGCCATGAGACGGCTTAAAATTTACTTGCGATGATACTTAATATGTAAGCCTATTTAAAGCATGGTGTCTGCAGTGTATTACCCTTGTTGCAACTTATATCAACGCCATATTCACCAATACCTTTAACTAAAGAAGCATAAATTCCAGCAATATTAAGGACAAGATATCGAACATCGAGAGAAGTCATTAAAGCGAGTTAGAATCAGCCATAAACGTATATGGTACTTCGTACAATTTATAACCGAGTAGGTGAGTAAAGCATGCCATCGACATGAATGTGTGAATAAGCAAATGGTTAGCGCGGCAAATAAAAGAAGTGATGTTTCAAAAGAACACGATATGTATAAACTCCAATAATGTAAAGAATGTAGTGAAAATACAGGTAATAACGAAGTAATTACGAATACATATATCGTCTGAAAGAGATAAGACACGATAACGTAATTCACAAACAATAAACATGAATGATATACGCGGGACAACTGAACATACTAATTGAATAAATTGACGTAGTTTTATGCTCTGAAAAAAAAAAACACACTAACCTGTGTATTGTGAGGACAACAATAATATGGTAGAATTAAAAATACAAATAACACGACAATACTGTGTCAATTAAAGAATGGTTAGGACAGGGGAATAAGGTGTGAGGCGAGTGTCACGATTCTGATCGCAGTGTGTAACTTTGTTTGTCTGTGTAGTTAAAACAATTATTAACTGAGAAATGTCGTAATATAGAGTTAGTAGCGCGAGTTCGTTAGGAAAAAGCAACTTATATGTAAGGTGTGGGCAGGTATAAGGAGGGCAATAGTTAATCTAAAGAGGTACACTTACACTTAATAGTAGTGAGGAAGTACCGGTGGTGTAGGGTACAACTACGACAATATGGCTGTGCTGACGAGGGCTCATGAAGACAACGAGACAGGTGAGATGGATTGGCGAGTGCGGTGGGGTAGAGTACGAGGATGCATCTTCAGCGACTTCGTCAGGAGGGTGGCACAGGCGTGAGTAGTCAGCACGAAGTAGTGTGTCACTTCGGCAGGAGCTTAACTTGGTGATACGAACATTCGGCATTGTGTAGTTCTTCCACCGCTAGCCACCAGGTGTCGACGTAAGAGGTTTGGGTGTAAAGCAGGTGAATGAAAGAGGTCTTTGCTGGAGGCTTTATTGGGGGAGGTAAAGGTGTGACCCCACGAGAGACCCGTGCCCCGGGTGCCGAGGGCGGAGCGGTGACGAGCGAGATCGTCGTCTGTCTGCCGAGTCTCCGTCTGCTCTCCTCTTGTTCTGCACGTGTCCTTTTATGTTGCTCCGGTTGATGTTTGTTTCAGCCTAGACAAAGGGGGGGGGGGGTAAAGTTCAAATCAGGGGAGGGGGAGGTAGGTCACCTTAGGTCAACCTGGCTCAGGCATGGTAGGTGCGAATCAGGTGCTTCCTCTGGTGATGTAAACACAGGAGGACTGCGACAGGAAGGTACAGCTTCCGTTTCGACCAGGGACGGATGTGTGGGACAATATTCTTGACATAATATATTTATGATATATAATATATGTATATTATATGTATATTATATATATAATATAGATCTATATATATATATATATATATATATATATATATATATATATATATATATATAGACACGCATATATATACACACACACATACATATATACATATATGCCAAAAACACAATACCGTGTTGATAATATGGAAGAAAAACCCACAATGCACAAACTAGATTTATTGATGAAAGTGAGACACACAAATATATTTAGAATATACAATATATACATATATATACTATATATATATATACATATATATATATAATATTATATATATATATATATATATATATATATATATATATACATTTAAATATATACATACATACATATATATATATATATATATATATATATATATATATATATATATATTATGTATAAATATTATATACATATATATTCTTATATAATGTATATATATTTGATATATATATATATATATATATATATATATATACATATGCATGTGTATATATATATACATATCTTAAATATGTATATTCTACACACACACACACACACACACACACACACACACACACACACACACACACACACACACACACACACACACACACACGAGACGCCATACACCAATGTCAAGTTTCAGACGGCAGTGTATCCCTGAACACAAGAGGTCATATGTCCGTAAGGTTACTGAAGCCATATGAATCTCTTGTACTGAGTACTGCCTTTCGCCCCCCTTTGGATTATGAAAATATCCTTTAACATTTAAAAAGCTTGCAAAATGGCCGCAATTCTGTTGAACACAACGAATATTCACGATTGTTTAGAATATATTTTAAT